TCGCAAAACTAAAAGCATCGGTGTACTAGACCGAGAAGCAAGAGACTGTCAATACGTGAAAATAAGAAAATAAAAGTGTACTTTAGATGAGTGAGAAACGAAAACAGCATTTAAAAAAAAATACGAATCAAACATCCGCAAACTTAAAAATTAGACAATATACGAACCCAAACTCTTTCATTCCGAACAACTGTGCGACGAATTGGACGCACTTTTCTACATTTCAAAACTGCCCCATGGGAATATTGATACTCAACCCAGTCTCCAACTTCCATCGGTTCCGACTGAGCAAATTCTGCTTGAGAAAGACGCATTTCTTTATGCAACCAAGGACTTATTGGAACCACGACAAACTCCAATTTCCATGTCTGAATTACTAAACCAGGACACCATTTCAAACGAGAATTTGAATTTCGACCAGCCGGGTCCCAGTTTGTAGTTTTCTTCGATTTCAAATACAGCGACGTCCCTGAAGGAAATACTGCGTTGCTTTCCTTTACAGGCAGTGTTGGTACTGAGCCCCAACCTCGCAAAAGTTCTTTTCCAGGGCATTTTACTTCATCAGCGTAATCGTCGTCATCTCTATACTTGGCTAACTGACGGCAACTCTTATTAAATTCTGCTGAAATTAGCAAGTCCCGCTCGTGAAGATAATTTTCTGATAACTTTTCTTTTACAAGCCGGGTTGTAATACACTGCGTTCCCTCGGCCATATTCGGAAAAACTTTGAGAATCCTTAAAAAAACAACTCTTTAAAAAGGCAATGAAAAAAACAGTTTGAAGAATAGCCGACTACCAATGATGTTAAATTGTTGTTCTATGCTTGAAAATTATTCAACTAATACTCAGAAAGTTTGCGTAGTAGAAATTAGAGAACCCAGTCAGGACTTTCAAAACACTAATTATTGTCTTAATAATGAGATCGTTTACACCAAAAATAAGTGTTACAACAATAACAGCTTTTTTGATTTGTTCAGAAATATCTAGATGAGCACTACAATTCAAAATTGCCGCTCTAGACACCAGCAAAAACGCCAACACGATCTCAGTAAAACATTTTTTTTTT